AAACCTCATTTATGGTTTGTTTATGAGAAATTAACTTTCAGAAAAAAAAAAACTAGTTTCATTATCGTATTTGCACTTTTTTTTTTGTTTCTTTCCATGGTTGACAACCAATAAATTCCTAGGCTTGGAAGAGTCACAACCCTTCTAACTACCAATTCTCCACCAATGTACCAAGATCTCCAAAATCTAACTCAGCTACTAAAAATGCTAGTTGTGGCCACTGGCCACACAAGAGTAGCACGCAGGAGTAGTTAAGGGCCTTACATCTCCACAGTAGATGGTGCCTTTGTTAGCATCACCACATCTACCTTCTAATATATGCAGACAACTGCTTTTCAAGGAGAAGTAAGGGCAAAATAACATCGCAAAAACTTGGAGAGGGTGTTGTTATTCTCAGAGCCCCTATAAAAATAGCTCGTGTTGCTATGAGGGGCATTCTCCAAGTATATATTCAAGATGCAACAAAGGAAAGGTTGAGGATAAAATAGCATGCAGCCATAAACATAGGATGAGCCACCATCATTCTTCATCAAAGGCTTTATGGAGTAGTTTTAATAGAAAGAGGGCTTGTGTGAAAGTTAGATTTGTAGTGGTATGAACCTAAAAGGTATAGTTATATGACCTTTATCAGGTAAAGGTCTATTCACTGTCAAAATACTCATTTTCGAAAGGACTTCATCTTCAGTAAAATGAACATAGATAGTTATACTAGTTTGACTAACCTTAGATAGTATGTGCAAAATTTTCATAGTAGCTTAACTAATATTGTAAAACTTTAATGTTATATGTAAAATTATACCAATAAACTTCTAGGAGATGGTCCAAATCTGATACCATAACTTAAACCCTAATTTTATCCTTAGTTTTGAGGATCCATGTGTGTATCCCATAGACCATTTTAGCATAAGCATTTCGATCAAGAGAAGCTGTATAACATTGTTTGTCATCGCTAAAAAAAAAACAAGATGAGAGTATTAAGCCTTATCTACAAGGTTCAATGAAAACTATTAAGCTCTACAACATTATTTTCATAAAATTGTGCTTTTATTTTTTTCCGTATGCATGAATGTGTATATATTTATGTCTCAAATAAGAATAAAAATTATGTCCACAAGTCTCTTATTTTTAGGACAAATATTATTTTTTTTATGAATGGTCTAATCAACAAGTCTTTTATATTTAGAAATGGACATTAAATTCTTTGAATGGTTTAATTGATAAGTCCTTTATTTTAAAAAATGAACGTCAAATTTCATTAATGGTCTAATCAATAAGTCTTTTATTTTAGAAACAAACATCAAATATTTTGTGAATAGCCGACAAGTCTTAAATTTTTATGGATGGACATCAAATTTTTTAAATGGCCTAATCGACAAGTCTTTTATTTTTAGAAACAAGCATCAAAAAAAATTTTAATAGCCTAATTGAGAAGTCTCTTATTTTTATGGATAAACATCTAATATTATGAATAGCATGATCGATGAGCTTTTTATATTTAGATACGGACATCATTTTTTTGTAAATGGTATAATCGACGAGTCTTATATTTTTAGGAATGGGTGTTGAATTTTTCACAAAAGACATTAGAAATAAATTGCAAATAAGATCAAAAATTAATTTAGACACTTAAATGCATGCAATTTAAAAGAAAACATATATTAAAGGTAACATTTTGTTTGAAAGGATATGGTAAAGGTGATGTTTATTTTTTCTTAAATATAATCAACCCCTTATTTGAATCTATAAAATCAATGTTTATTTTAAGATTTTTAGTTTTCTTTAATTAATAGGTGGCAACTCCTCTACTTCTTCTTTTTTTTCTTTTTCAATTTCCCTTTTATTTTGAAAGTCCAAAACACACCAAACTCTCGTGGGCAACAAGGACTCAACCAGCTCATTAACCCATTAGCAAGTTGGTTTTAACATCAGACAAACGCTTTAACTCCATCAAATTAAGGCTAGCACTAGAGGTCTTCATCTCTTATCATAGCAACAATAGTTCCTTCTCAGCCACCAGCCTCACCTGCACCACCATCAACCTTAATTAGGACCACCACACCACGATTGAAGCTCTACCAACAAGCAACGCCCTATCCAGTCTAGGTAACTTTCCTTCTTTTATCTTCTTTAATTTATTGTTACAAAAAGCATGCAGAACGTGAAATGATTCACGTTTTGCAGAGGCTATCAATTTGATCAGTAGGCTAGACCAATAACCAAATTATATTGAGTGGATTTAAGCTCAACCAGTATGCCTGGTTTAGGTCTAGCTCACTTATACCAAAAATAAAAAAAACTAAAAAAAAAGAAAAAACATTTATAGGGCCATCTATCTCATCACACAAATCAGATTGTGTTGGGCCTGACCCCATCCCGTATACATGGGTTTGGGCCTCACAAAGTAGGCCACAATCTAGGCTTTGTTTGTTTGCAGAGCACCAAACTCTCGTGGGCAACAAGAACTCAACCAGCTCATTAACCTATTAGCAAGTTGGTTTTAACATCAGACGAACACTTTAACTCCAGCAAATTAAGGCTAGCACTAGAGGTCTTCATCTCTTATCATAGCAACAATAGTTCCTTCTCAGCCACCAGCCTCACCTGCACCACCATCAACCTTAATTAGGACCACCACACCACGATTGAAGCTCTACCAACAAGCAACGCCCTATCCAGCCTAGGTAACTTTCCTTCTTTTATCTTCTTTAATTTATTGTTAGCCTCAATTTTTCAGGAAAACACTTTCCTAAAAACCAAACCAAATTTTTCTTTGACTGGAAAGTGTTTTTCATTGACCAACTTTCCTAACAACAAACAAACACAAGAAAGTTTGGAAAGTGATTTCCCGGAAATCACTTTCTGAAAAACAAACACAGCCTAAAAGAAAAACACTTTCCTAAAAACCAAGCTAAATTTTTCTTTGACTGAAAAGTATTTTTCATTGACCAGAAAGTGTTTTCCGTTGACCGGAAAGTATTTTTCATTGACCAGAAAGTATTTTCTGTTGACCAATTTTTCTAATGACAAACAAACACGGGAAAATTTGAAAAGTGGTCTCCCAAAAACGACTTTTCAAGAAACAAACATGGCCCTAGAGTAGGAGTTTGAACATCACATATTATAGATAGGTTCATAACCTATATCATAGTTATTTAAGGCATTGTTTAATTATAATATATAAATTTATTATAATTGTATTTGATATACTGATGTAGCAAATTACAAATGTGTGCGAGAGATTACAAGCAAATAAAGGATTTAAAAAAGTTTGAAATTTTTTTTTTCCTTTTAAGAATTATATCCAAAATTTTCATTAGCATGTAAAGAAGAGAAGGGCTCATCTATTAGGCTGTCAAGTAAAGAGAAAGAGGTAATTGTAAAACAATAAAAGACAAATAGAATCAAAAAAATAAATAATACATGGAAGGCATGTTGGATACCTCAAACAATGATTTGTAATGTAAAAAAGAGTAAAAATCTATAGGCATAGCATCACAGATCATAATAAGAAGCAATGAAAGAATATGAGGTTTAAAATCAAACCTTTAATGATGATGAGGATATTGTTCGTTTTTTTCAAAGGTGAAAGTAAGTGAGCAAATGTATCAGATGTAGCTATGTTTTCCAAGTTTTTTTGAGCTTGAATTACGCTTCCACACTCATTTTCATAACTATTTTAATCAAGAAGTTAAATAGATGCATTAAAAAAAAATCATAAGTTAAGAACCATCTAATTTAGCATGTGTTAAGGACAAAAAAAAAATTGTAAAGGAAGTGAGTAAGGAAGGGTAAACTTCCCTAAGTTATGCTATAGCTTCAAAATCAAGTGCATATCGTGCTTCACAGTTCAAGCTTGTTTTCTTATTTGGTGATATGTTTTGGGATGATGTCTCCAAGAAATTAAGAGCAATCCTAAGTTATGTCACAGTATTCTATGAAGTACATGGACCTATAGGAACCTGTTTTATAGAGTTTAATGGAGTAGATGTCTCAGGTGTAGTAGATGATTTAGCTTCTGTAGATAGTGTTTCTAGAGGATGGATGTTTTTATTTATAGTGTCATCAAAGATATTAGTAATGATAATCTCACATCTATTGGTAGTGAATCTAAAATCATGAAAACAAAGCTAAAAAATCATGCTTTTAACTTTGCTACCATTGCAGTCGGAATAACTAAAGGATCAATAAATTTTTTATCATAAACATAATGGTGGGCTAATGATCGAAAAACATTCTTAGCAATTTCCCAAATAGAGTGGGCTAATGATCAAAAAACATTCTTAGCAATTTCCCAAATAGAAGGAAATTTATGGCATCTTCTCCATCAGTAACAAGGCATTCTAAGCAAAACCTATGATATAAAATTGATGACATGTTCATTAATAAGAAGTTTGTGATAATGCATTTGAGGAACATGAATTGTTTGCCTTTTTTTATTTACCAGCTTCATATTGTTTTAGTTGAGAAATTAGATGAGTTACCATGGGACTGGAAAAGAGGTAATAGCATCATAATCTATGCAGTTGTAATTGTTTTCACCCCCATTAAGTTTTTTGTTGTATTATGGACAACTTGGATACCAACAGCATTGGGACAATCAAAGTCAACAATCAAAACTTGACAGGTGAATCTCAAATGCTGTAACATAAAAGAAATAAATGTTATAAGGGTGTTGTTAAATGAAATTAAAAAATTAATTATATGAAGAAGTTGAAGCATGTTATCAACATTAATAATAGAGGGTGAAAAAAATAATCTTGTGCTCATAATGATTCAAGCAAAGAATTTCATGTGTTGTTCTCCTTTTTTCTTTGATTTGTTTCTTTATCGATAAAACAACATTCAAGAATGAGGGGAGTTATTGGATTTCAACATGTAGTTGTGCAAAGTTGAAGGCACAATTGATTCAAAAGGATGGTGAAAAAATTATTAGTTTGAAAAAAATTTAAAACTAGTAAAGCATAAGAGAGATGGCTGCTATTAGGATAACTTAAAAATATTTATATGTTAAGCATTCTAGTATGTCTGGATTGAAGTACCAAAAAGAGGCAGTTGTACCTTTAAGATTTGGTTTTCCTTGTAAAAAAAAAGAGGTTTTTTAAAATAAAATGAAAAGGAAATTAATTGAATTAGAATAATAATAAAAATCTGAAAGATTTTTTTTAGGAAAAAAATTAAATGGAAGTTGAAATTACCCTTAAATTTTGTGACATGAAATCCAACAAACACAATGATGACTGGAGATGGTAGGTTGCGAAGAGCGAGTTAATCAAAGTATCGGGCATTATCACCCCAAAGAGTTATGCGAAGCTACTCACCACTTGGAAAAAAAACATAAATCAAATTTGATCAATAAGTTTGACAAAAGTAAAGTAATTGCATTTTATTTTTGAACTTACCGTGTGTTCTCAAGCATGAATTCTCTTTTATTTTCGAGCATATGTCCATGAACCATAACTTGTTCGAGTGGCTGCAATGCTTTTAGTCTTCCAAAAACATCTTAATTAATAGGAAATAATAATTTTAAGTGATCTTGTCAAATTTAATTAAATAATAGAAATGTTTTATAACAGGCTAAAATGAATGAAATAGATGGCAAACCTGTAAGAATTCTAGATCCTTTTAACTTGGTGATAATATATGCATAGTCAATAAAATTGAAGTAGTATGTAGGAATATAAGGTTGAATAGATTCAATGGGTGCAATTTTTGTGTTAGATTTGAGATCAACTACAACATCTTGTAAAACAACTATGTTTATTGCTCTGTTTTCATAAGTATAAAATCATTTGATTTCATAGTGATTTCCTTCAATAATTATTGCTGTAAATGTTGGGAAATCCCTTACTTTAGCTAAATCTTGAATAGCTCCACCCTATATAAAAAGATGATTAATATTGGAATGAAAAAAATAATTGTTCATCATGTGAACAACAAAATGGAATAGAATTTTCAATGCAATATATAATAAGGTTTTGTAAATTATTTAAAAAAGATTTTTTTTTACCTTGGAAGGGAGGTATTGGCACCACTAGAACATTAAGCCAAAAGACTGGTTTGCTTGTATAAAATATCTGAAACTTGTCTAACCTCTATAAAATTTTCTATAAATTATATAAAGCAAATGTAATGCAAAAGGTTTGTCTAGTTTTTTAAGCATGTACATAATGAAGTTGAGTGTAAATTATATATAGAAGTGAAATAAGTGAAATAAGCCAAAAGATTGCTTAATTCAATGTCTTACTTAATATGAAAGTACTTGTTCATTCTTAAGCAATAATCAATCTTCATCTTTCTAAACTTCATTGTAATATCTTCCGATCTAATATCACCATCGTTGATATTAGGTTGAGTTATCTTATATATGTTGAAGAAATCACCAATACATCACCATTAAAATTGATTTGGACCAAGACTTACTTTTCTTGTCATTTAAAATCTATTTACATTTTTTTTATCTTTGAAAACAAATCCATCAATTATTTTCAACCAAGTTATTGTTAATTTAATTTCTCTTGAGTTTTTTTTTGTTACTTAGCTTAATTTCCAGATCTAGCTCTCTGTGGATATGACCTCGATCTTACCGAGTTAATTGCTACATCGCACACTCGTGCACTTGCGAGTTAAAACAAGCCGATCATAAAAAGCGGTCAAGCAATTTTGGCGCCGTTGCCGGGGAGCTAGCAAGCAAAGGTAACAAATTTAGATTTGATTATTGGAAAACTAAAAAAAATCATATAAAAAAAAATTAAATTAAATTGGCTTTTGAACTAAAATATTAATTAGCTTAGTATGTAAACATAAATTAAGTCTAACATTTATGTATATTGTATTTAATATCAGTTTCTTAAGAATATAAAGTCATTGTACTCCGTAAATATATAAATATAATTATTGTATATATTTGTATGGATGAAGTTGTTTGAAAAACAATGATTGATGGGGTAATAATCTAGGATGATTGGATCAGGTAAATAAAATTGTGTTGGAATGTGAAACAAGTTTAGTCAATAATTTGAAACTTTCCGTTATAGAGGAAACTTTGCTAAAATTTCATAAGAAATTTTGGTGAACTTGTAAGTATACATTTGTTTATAAAACTTGCAAATCTTCTTGGTAATAATTGAGAATGTGATATTCAAACTTATAATGCTGCAACTAAAATCTCAAATAAATTTTTTCTTGGTCAGAAAAAATCTTTAAGGTAGATCTTGTCAATAAGCAAGCATATATTTTCAGCATTGAATAATTTTTAAGTATTTGTAGAATCAAAAGCTATGCTCAACAAAAAAAAATTGGTAGTCTAATTATTATATTTATTATTTAGCTTTTGTAATTGTTGGTCAATAATAATTATAAATATATCAACTTTGTAGTGATGCTCAACTATTAATGAATTTTTTTATGGCAAGATTGTGTTCATAGTTAAGCCTAAAATCAATATTTAAAAAAAAAAAGAATCGATTCTTCTTATCTCTTTCATGGTTCAATCTAAAATATTTTTATTATTTCATGTTTTAAAATTGAATACAAATGATGACGGGTTGAAGTAATAACCAAAATCAAAAATAAAATTTTACATGTAAACCAAACAAAAACCATAAAATATATCTAATGGATTAGTGAAACAAATTTGACCTAGACTCAAAAATAAAAACCACAAAACTAACATAAAAAGAAAAATTGGCAAATTAAAAAAAAAACTAACATATAAAAGCAAAATTGACATATTAAAAAAAATGTAATTATTAGATGCTAAATAAGAAAACTTACACTAAATACATATAATCAAAAATAAAATATAAAAAAAATCCAAACATAATCGATACAAACATATATATATATATATCCAATTAATTAGACAAAAAAATCATCTATAACAATAATTCAAAAATAAAGGCAAAACTAGCATATTCAAGAGAGAGAGCAAAAATGATAGAATTAAAGAAAAATACTCACTAAATTCTTAACAAAATCCCAAAATATGGAGAGAGAAAATAAATTTTAATTTTGGGTTAATAGTTATCTTGTTTTTCATAATTTTGGGTTAATAGTTATCTTGTTTTTATCGAAAATAAGTCAATAGCCTTTGCCCTCTTTCCTTTGTGTTCTTGTTCCTACTGTTTACCATTTGTGTTCGGCTCTATATAGAGAGGAGGGCAAAGATAATTGAATTGGGAAAAGTTTTGTGTTTGTTAATTCTTTCAACATGCAAGTGAGCATAAAGTAAAGGAAATCAAAGTGAAGGTATGGCTCCTTTGTGTTTGTGTATTCTTTGCAACCATAAAGTAAAGGAATAACCCATTTATTTAAAATAAAAAAAAAATATCATCCCACACGCAATAAAGAAAAAAATAAAAGACGTGATGATTTTATTGTGCAAAATGCAAAATGCATTATGTTCTCTCTTACATTCATTGTGAATTAAAATAGTGCTTTTTATATATACTTTGTTCATCAAACTTTTTTCTCTTTAATTACATCTTTTTATGGCTAAAATAATATCTAATTTATTACAAAAAGACATAATTAAAAGAAAGATAATCAAAGTATAAAACATGATAAACTTACATATGCATTATGAAACTAACATGAAAACATTCATTTTGATCCCCGTACTTTTCTTCTTTCCTGAAACATTCCCTTTGTTTTTTAAAAATTTTATTTTAGTTCAAAATCTTTTTTTTTTCAATCCCTTATTTAAAAGAAAAGAGAGAAAGCCACTAGAAAGTCAAAGAAATATATTGTTTCACTACATTTCAATCACAAAAAAAAATATTCTTGATGTTAATGAATTTCATTCACTAAAAAAAGTTTTATTAAGAATTTTTTTTCCCCTTTAATCATGCCACAAAAACTAGAGGGTTGGGAAATGATTTTTTTCTTTCAAATTAATTTGTGTTTTTAGACAAGTTTTGGGTAGTTTGAATTGATTTATTAGTTTATTGTTTCATAAAAATATTTATTAGATTTTTTTAAATAAAAATAAATTTAAAAAATCATTTTTTTTCAAAAAAATCGTGCCCAATTTTCCACCGGCATGTTCAATGGTTGAAAACTAGGATGGCATCCAACGTGTCATCTATATTTATTTTACAAAAAAAAAAAAACAGGATGGATGATATTTCCAACAAAAGAAAACAAAAAAGGCAAAAGGCTAAAAAAGCTTGGCTTAGCCTTTGCTTTTAATGGTATAGGCACGGTGGGTCCATGAATTTGGCTTCTTCTTTTTTTATTTTTTTTTATTTTTTATTTAAATATAAATTAATTAGAATAGATTAATTAAATATATACGTGGAATGTCTGATGTAGCAAGTACTTGATTTTAATTAAGATCAATGAAATGAATAAACTAAACAATTTTCAATGGTATTTTAATAAAATATCAATTAAATTTTACTTGCTTTATGAATAATATTGCAACATTTTTTATAATATTAAAAAGCTTTTTTTTTTTATGCAACCCTATATAATATTTTTCTTGTTTGATTTTATTCAATTGATTTCTTGTGTATATCTATTTTTATTATTGTTTGATTAAATAAAAACTTAGTTCTAAGAAACAATGTTATTAAAGATAATTAGGTTCATGACTCGTGTTCCGAAATCAGATATATTGATTTGCATCTAACTCTTCACTTTTTAGTTTAGTTTTTGGTTAAATGCTGGTAAAGTTTTGCTTATAAGTTTAAAAAAAGTGTGGCTAGCTAAGGTTAGTTAGATTTAAATACACATATGGTAAAAATTATAGTTAAAATTTATGTGCAGCAAAAAACATGTATAAAATGTTAAATAGTTATATAATTGCGATTACTTTTCAAAATATTTTTTACTTGAAAATGTATTAAAATAATATATTCTTATTTTTAAAAAAATTATTTTTGATATCAGTTGACACGACCAAAAAATTGATGTGTTTTTCTAAGTGTAGGAGTGTTAAAGTAATAAATAACTAGGCAAAACCGGGATCAAACCATAGAGAGGTTAACTATATAAATTATAAATAACAACAACAACAACAATAATAACAACAAGTTAAAGAGGACTTTGAGAGTGTAAGATTAATGTGATGATCAAACAATAAAAAAAAATATTAAAGTTAAAGGATCCATTAATGATATTTCAAACAAGTATAGTATAAAATCTTTTTATTACTCAACTGAAAACCACACACAAAGGAGGTTCCAATATGACTATAAATTGTTAACATGATTATATTAGTTATCTTATTCGAATAATGCTAATAATTGTAAATATTGTCAGGTATACCTATTTATAACTTATGTTAACAACAAATCAAGTTTCTTTTATAACATAGATGTAGATTATACTATATGGTTGGGCTATAAAAGTGTCAAGTATTTGTTGTACCAAGTGTTATACACATAAATCTAGATTAATCATTTAATAAGCAAAATATTAAAAGTGAACAATATAACAAATACAAAACATATTAGTATCAAATATTAAAGTTCATGTTGAGTTTACACTATACTTATTCTTACACCATTAATTTAACATTTTCATATTGACATAATAAACTTAACTAAACATAATGCAAAAAAGAAAAATAAATAAATAAAATAAGAACATAAATAAAATAAAAGTTAACTAAGAAAATGAAAAGCATAACCTTGATATTAATGAAAGAAAAGCATAAACATTACAAAAAATACAAAGAGAGAAAGCAAGAGCATGATCTTGATCTGGAAACCAAGATGCTTAAATGCATGGCAAATGCCTAAACTAAGATGTCTAAATGCATGGTAAATGCCTTCTTTTATAGGCTAAAATTTAGAACCATTGATTTGATGACTAATTGTTGAGTGGGTGGCCAACTCTTGATTTGGTGACAATCCTTATCTTCTTGTCTAAACAAAACGTCATTACTAACATTAGAATTCGAACATGCTCAATTCATAAAAGTTTTAGGAAATTATTTTAACTTTCTAACAACAAAAAATTGAGGTCATTTAGACTTTTAGAACTCAAGATATATGCTAAACACTGAACAATATTTAGGTTGCAAGATAAATTCGGACTTCTCCATTGTTGCTAAGATTTGGACCTCCAAACAAGAGAATTGAGTCTTGCATTCCT